AAGAAATAATTGAAAAAAAAAAAAAAAAAAAAAGAGAGAGAGAGAGAAAGATGGGTCCAGTGGCTCGTATGGAGGGAGCGTGTGAACAAACATCATTTTTTAAGTTATTTTGCTGGGGGAGAAACAGTCCAACGTGTATAGTTTTCTGTTTATAACGTTTCTCAATCAGTGTTTCTGCGTAAGAAAAAAATACAACAAACAAACAAAACAAAACAGTGTAATATGCATTTTTAACATGTTTTTCATGATATTACCCCAGTGTTTTTTAATCAATTATATCAAAAGGAATCAGTATATATACATATATGTATATATATATATTTATATATATATATGTCTGAAGATACTGTCAGTTTGATTTTTATTGGCTTTTTTAATCTTCAGTGATAAAAAAAGGCTTAGTTTAAACCTTTCATTTCAATCATTTCAAAACCATATTTATCTATTTATTTTATTATAACAATACAAAGGATAATATTTATGGGCTCCATTTCACATGGCGTACTTCATGACATTGACTTATGTTGTTAATTTATATCATGTTGATTTGTGTTTATTTAGGGTGTAATCATAGACAGGGTGTTCAATTAATAAATTGGTGCGTGGGGAGGGGGGGTGTAATTTGACCTTCTATGCCTTTCCAAAACAATCAGAACATTTAGCTAATAGCTCAAGTGGCTAACTCTCTTGTTTCATCTCCACTGTGAGTCAGGTGGTTGGCTGTACTTCATAAATACATTTTTTTAAAAAAATGAAAAAGACGCAGAACATGAAGCAATAAAGTTGATTTCGCAGTACCATGGTAGACACTCGCTGTCGCCGCTCCACTCTCGCTTTTTGATTATGTGAATGCCAAACAAAAGTTTACAATTTCCTTTTCCTGAATTTTTTAAAGATCTTGTATTTGATGTACAAAGTTCTACTAATCTTCACAGTAATTAAAAGATAATTATTGACAACAGTAAATGATAATATACATAAATGAAATAAAAAGCTATATAAAAAAGCAATAATTTATTTTTCAGAGTTGTATTTTAGCTTCCTATCGTTGTGTGAATTTTTCGGACCTGACCCATTACCCAGTCGCTGGTAGCTTTCGGACAACTCCATTCCTTGATCCGCACGGTGAACACTTGAAATGACCTGCCCCCCGCCCCCCCCCCCCCCCCCCGCCGCCCTCCTCCCTTTAAGATGTAATTGAGTCCCCGTGATTGTAATGCTCGCTTTTTCTTGTGACACCTTGTGCAAAATGTGACTCTTTAATCCCACTCTGTGTGTAGAACGTGTCCAGTCAAACATGTTTGTTGTGTAGCGCATGACTATTACAGGGTGATGCTGGGTACAGTATATTCCACTTTGGATATCTGCCTGTCAGCTGTCTTAACTGGCAAATTTTAAATGACATTCTTTAAGCCCAGAGGGAAAGGAAATTACTCAACAGTGTATCGCATGCCACGTCGCTTTCCACTGCCACTCCTTCTTTCCCCACCAACCCTCCCTCTGTTGGCCCCCTCCCCATTTTACAGCACTCACAGTCCAGATATCACATCGGCGTCGACAAGACATAAAAGGTAACCTTGCAGCTTCTGGTTCAATTAACGTCCCGTTTCTGGCGCGAGCCAAGTAATAACAGAAGCGGTTTGCGTCACAGGGAAGGAGGGGGTGTTATGTATGAAAAGCTGTGCTGATCCCAGGCTACGCTTCACTGTGTTCGGCTGTGGAGACGGGCAAGAGCGAGGTTGTTTTTTTTTGGGGTTTTTTTTTTTTTTTTGTAATTCAATGAGGACAATTTTCATCAAGGGGGAGATAAATAAATAAAACAACATTGACCAGTGTTTCAAGACATTTTTTGTTTCTTCTTTTGCTGTCTGTATAGCGTTTGGGTAATGGTGTCGTGTCCTGTTTGATAGATGTGGCTTTTATCATTGTAATTAAAAAATGCTTTGTAAATTGCCTAGAGTAGCAATATATTATCACACTTTATGGTTCAAATTTCAACTGTGGCGGACTTTTTAATAATGTGACCTACTGAGGACTTTGCTACTGCTTAGACGTTTGTTGAGTAATCATGTTTTCTTTTATTCGGAAAGGACAATACGTGTATGAGCAGATATATCTATGTACGTCTGAGTTTGTGATTCCAGGCAGGTATTTGTGTGTGTGTGTGTGTGTGTGTGTGTGTGTGTGTGTGTGGGGAAGGGGGGTTGTTACCTGTTTGTGTCCTATCCACGTTGCCTTCTGCCAAGTCTTTACCAATGCCTTTGTGGTTCTACCTATTGTACAACTTTCTTGTGAATTTTATTTTTTATGTGCAATTCTCATCAGCCTCACCATGCCAATAAAGGGAAATGTGTTTGAAAAAAAAAATATTCCAGTGGCTCGACCATTATCTTTTTTCCCCCTTTGTGATCAATGTCCCCTAATCAAGCACTGTTGTACCATTTTCACTCAGCGCCATCAAATGATTATGACTTGTGTGCTCAGCCTGATTACTATCAAGGAGACACCCTTGAAGTTTTGTTTTTTTTTTTTTTTGTATTTTTTTTAAAGGGAAATCCAAAAGTGGTGAAAACGCCGCTCATCAGAATTCACAATTAATCCGCCATCACCTCCCTCCAACACTTGTGTATCAAAGTGTTGAGTGAAGGCTGCATGAGAAGTGACACAAGCACATCCTCAGCACATCTGTCTCTCTGTGAAGTTCCCCACTAATAAAGGAAGTGAGCCCCTAATGCAGGGCAGCTCTCCTCTTTGATATTCATATCACCTGGGAGGGAACGCTCGGCGTCTTTGTCTGTGTCCACAACTTCACTCCACACCAAGAGTCTGAAAGTTAATTAAAAAGTTGTGAGGAACAATTCCATTAACACAATGGAGAACTATAGTGACTTGATGGTGTGGTAGATATTCAGTAGAGCTTCATTACTGCTTTAGTGCTGCCTGTTTCTCTCTCTTTTGTTTCTTTAAGATACACACATCTTTGTCTGAGAACTGGGATCACACCGGGAGCTTCAGCTCCACTCCTGCTTCTTCACCACTGCAAAGAGAAATATGGGAAGAATGTGCATTAAATTTTAAGGTTGGGGGTCTGATTGTGTTTTTTTTTTTTTTTATTAAGGCCACTGTTTAGCCCCAGAGAAGAGAGCGACGGGCTTTCATTTCGGCGTGGCTGCAGAACTACAGCAGGAGGTCTCCCTCTGCGTGCCCTTTCCACAGAATGAAACTGTCCCTGGAAATCCTCCCTGCTCCCTGTTGGCTTTTTTCTTCTCCCACCTCTCTCTTTCCATCATGATAGGATTGCTTTTTCTTTTTTTATTATCTGTTATGTGTCTTTTTTATTATTAACCAGCAGATAAGTAGCTATCTGTACTGCAGTCGGGAGTGAGTCTGAGCAGGGGAGATAATGTGGTTTGATGAGGACGGGCTCTCTGTGGGACAAACACCGAGGCTTTTGTTGTTGGCTTGTATTTTATTTTTTGCGTTAAAATCTATTAAATGTTCCGTGTGTGTGTTCACAGATGTGACATGAATGTGAAAATGATTCACGTTTGGTCGCTAAACAGAAAGGAGAGTTCCGCTTGCCTTAGTATCATGCATCCAGGCAGGTCAAGATGTAAGAAAAGCACTGGTGGATAATAAGATTAGATTAACCTAAGACTAGTTAATCAGTGGAAGATGGAACATGAGCCATACCCCTGATAATTTACTAGATTTATTAAGTCTCAGCACAACATACATGCTTTACGTCACAGTTAGTCTAAATGTTCTGTATCACCAAAATAGTGGTTTGAAGACCTAACTGTTATTAGAACTATTTCCATGACCCTCACATCCACACATTCACAGCTATTGCTTCAAAACACACCTGCTCTTTACTGATCTAAAACTGCTTTTCTCATTGAACAAAGGAAAGGAAGTCACTAGGGCTGTCGAAGCATCAAACATTTTAATCTGATTAGTCACGGAGTAGCTGTGGGTTGCTTATGATCGCAATTAATCACAATTAATTTAGATTGATTGGGATAAAAACAATTAATAAAATGCTAGGTCAGAAAGACAAAATACAGAAACTGAACTGCCCTTGCCTCTCTGCGACCTCCCTTACATTGCCCTGTGGTCCCTGGTTTGAGAACCACTGCACAAAAAAATGTTTGATCCATTTATTTTATTATTTTTTTTCTAATACAAGGCTGACAAGGGAAAAAAAAAAGGTCAAAGACTTTGGTGCTGATGAAACAATAACTTTAAACGTGACGCATGTGATGCTGTGTCTCTAAGTTCTTGCCTCCAGAATCCCTCAAGGTTTCTCTTCGCTCATTCCCCCAAACTCCATTTCACATTCTTTCCCCTTACTTCCTCTTCTTTCTCTACCCTTTTCTAGCCCTTTATTTTTAGATTAGCTCATAAAAAGATGTTTGTGCAGCACTAATCTGTGGCCAGGCAGGAGTCGGCATTTCCTGC